TAGGACGGAAAAAAAACGGTTATGTGGCTGAAGAGATTCATGGTTATGCCTCCAGATGACTGAAATCTGATCTACTGTTTGGGTCACGTGATGCTAAAAAGGTGAGAAAGCATCTGGGAAAGACGCCTTGAAGTCCCTTAAAACAGTTTAATCCTGCAATCTGGAATCCAGAAAAGCTCCGACAGGGTTAGTATCTCTCCCCTCACAGCCCAGGTGTGCTGATCTTCCCCGTACCTGGACTCCAGGTGCAGGGCTCTGAGGGCTTTCTCCACGGCCGCTGCCAGCATGGCCTCATCCTCCAACATCTGCCTCAAAACGGGGGCCGGGAGCTCCAGCAACATGCCTGAAGGGCCCAAAACAGCAGCTTTATGGCGAGTTTTACAGCCCTGTCAGGCTCAAATGATCATAACATAGATGTTTGTCTTTAGATGTGTACTGAATCACCCCACCTGTGAGTTTTCCAGCCTCCTCTTTCTGTTTGGGGTAAATCAGAGAGTACAACTGTTCACCGATAGTCTCCAGATCTCCTTCTTCAGCCATGCTCGGCCTCACGCATTAAGACCTTCTACCTGGCATTTCCAAAGCAGAGCATCATCTCGGACTACTTCACATTCTCCCAAATCACGACAGCGTTTAAACAACATCCACGGACTACTTTTCATCAAAGAAAGGCCCCAAAACGCACGTAATCCATGTAACAGTCGTCTACTATACTTTGTGTTTGTCTAACACGTTATCGTATCTACAAAAATCACTGTAACGTTTTAAAATAAGTCTATTTTACACATTTTTTCTGACTACAGCCTGTAAACACACGGCGCATGCCAATGACGTCATAACATTTTCACAACTGGAGGTGGTGTTCCTCCGCTCTTCGTGCAAATAACTAGTACTCCATTGAATTTCACTTTAAATTAAGTAAAGTGTCCTAAATGAAATATAAACTATCTAAATATATTTTTAGATTAATTAAACATTTTCTGATGGGTAAATCCTAGGTTTATATGTCAATATTATTACGAAAGAGTCGTGTTTCCGGCGCATGAATCTAAGAAGAAGGTTCCGTAAAGCGGCTTCCGGTCTCTCCGGTCCTTTTCCTTCGTTAAAAGGTAACGTGGTCGTTTCGGCAGCTAACAACCGGCCTTTAAAATAGATTTCTGTTGTATACTTAGATCACTTTGCACAAATAAAGTAGCATGTTATGATTGTATTGATTGTTTTACACACACTGAGCAGTAAATGCGTCTGTTCCTTGTAGAATTTGGAGAATAAAGCTAAAAGCTCGTCGGTTAGCTTAGGCCTCATCGTGGTCTGACGGTTAGCCGAGAAGCTAACGTTAGCAAGCACGGACTATAGATTATAGGCTTTATATATATTTACTAACGTATATATAACATTTACCACCATCATTTAGTCTGGTTAAAAGATAAAAGTCGTGGGAGGGAAATATATTGAGCTCCTTAGTGGAAAACGTTTGATGCCTGTCATTGCTGAATGGTTGCATCAAGCTAACTGATGCTTCTACGGAGATATCGTTCTAAAACTCTCCCAATTTTATCCAGGTTCATCATGTCGTCCCATTTGCAGTGGATGGTCATCAGGAACTGCTCCAGCTTCCTCATCAAGAGGAATGGACAGACTTACAGTACTGTGAGTGCAAGCTAGGCCCCTAAAGCAGCATTAAAACGCTTTCCACACATTTATAAACTTAAATCTGATTGCTTATTTTAGCCATCTTCTCACCACAGACCTCATTAACTACTATTGTACTGTGTTTTTGTTAAAAGTGTTCAAGCTGTGTCAAATTGATTCAAACATTATCTTATTTTTGTAATTTAAATGTCACATCAAGCAGTTTAACCAAATTCTTCAACATTGTGTTTAAGGAGACCCACTAACACGATTTTGTGCCTTGTTTTTGAGTAAAAACAGCTTCCTCTATGTCTATAAATTGGATTAGAGGCACACCAGTTGATATATTGTCCAGGAATAAAGAACCGGCTTTAGAACTGTCATTTTCAGGCAAGTAGATTAGACAATTACAAGGAATGGCTTAATAATAAAAGCTAGAGAAGCTGATGTATTCATTTGAATCAGGTTTGCTGGGAGAAAAAAAGTTGGCTTGGCTTGTTGACTTGAGCTGGCTGTTAATGTATGTTTCTGTTTTAATTCATAATTTTAGTGAAAAATGTTGGATTCTGACTTTAATTTGGGACTGAATGAACACAAACTCCAGTCTGTTATTTGAGTTGATGTGGTGTAAACTTTCCCGCTTTAGGAGCCCAACAACCTGAAGTCCAGGAACTCTTTCCGCTTCAACGGTTTGGTGCACAAGAAGACGGTCGGCGTGCAGCCTGCCGCCGACGGCAAAGGCGTGGTGGTGGTGCTGAAGAAGCGTGCAGGTAGAGGATTTCTGCATCCTACAAACAGAGTTTTAGACAGATTAACCGCTGAATGTGGCAGAATTCATTACAGATCTGGAGGTTTCCCTCCAAGTTAAACGGAAAGCTAAAGTTGTGGGTTTTGGCGGGGCAGGTTGTCTCCTTTTGTGTAAATGTGCTGCTCCTGGCCTCAGAGAATCATTCAAACAGTAGACATAGTGTGTATTAAGTTTCTTTAGTTTAATTAATTCTGACTGAGATCAGATCAGATTCAGGGATTTTCTGCTCCAAATGGTTCAACGTCCACATTGAGTTTGCTTAGTTCTTTAAGGGGAGACGGGTAGGAGTGGAACGCTTTTGCTTCAAAGTGGAGCTTCTGATCCAGACTAGGGACTTAGGGATGTCCCTATCCAGCTTTTTTCGCTTCTAATCCCGACCTATCAGAGCATGTATTAAAGTCTAAAGTTATTTATCTACTCACTTAGTTGTCAGACTCATGTTGAACAGGGATTTACTCTAACAACTTAATGGTTAGGACACGGACCTGTGGGTTACAGATGCTAATGCTAATGCTAATGCTCGTGTGGGATCGGACTTAAAAAAAAACCTGATCTGGAGTCTGGATCTGCATTTTCTCCTGCCGGCTGATACGCATAATTTTGCAAATATCGGCCACGATCCGATCCAGACATTGGATCGGGACAAGCCTAGTAGTAATAATGATGATAATAATAAATGTAATTTGGAGGCACCTTTCAAGTCACCCAAGGTTACCTTACTAACAAAAGCTGGATGGATTAAAGACATTTAAAGCAGTATTAAAACATAATAAGAAGAGCAGGTGGAGTAATTGCAAATATCAGCAGCCAATCCGATCCAGATATCGGATCGGGACAAGTCCAAATCCAAAGCTGACTCTCTGCTCTTTCTGCTCAGGTCAGCACAAGCCCGCCAACTCCTACGAGAAGATCACCATCAACAAGAACTCTCGCGCCACCCTCAACAGCCTGAGGCACATCATCCGCAAGAGCAACTACAGGAGGGACCTGCGCATGGTGAGCCGAGCCTCCTCCCACTCCGGTCCGCCTCCTAAACCCTTCCCCTAACTAACCGTCTCCCCCCCCCCCCCCCTCAGGCCGCCCTCCGCCGGGCCAGTGCCATCCTGAAGAGCCAGAAGCCGGTGGTGGTCAAGAAGAAGCGCACCAGGGCCACCAAGACAGCCTAAAGCACCCATGGTGAATAAATGAATAAAGTCTTGTTTGGAGAAAAAAAAAAACAACCTTTTTTGTCCTGAACTTTGTTTGTAGTGATTCGTTTTAGAAAGGGGGGGTGAATAAAATCCAGCCTCAGTGTCTCCAGAGGATCCAGAATTTGAACTTTCTGGGAAACAGCCGAGGGATTTTGGTTGTTCTGGAAACGCTGGAAATCGAGCCCGCTTTTTAATTTGGTATCTGTATCTGTTCCGTGCTGGAAGAACAGAACGGGGGGGGGAAATAGGTCAGCCATTGGCCGGCCGGCTGCTGTGACCCATTTTTTTATTTTGGCCTGTGTAACTACAGCAAAGGCCGGAGCTTTTGGGCTCTGGGGGCTCTGGGGGCTGCAGGTTTCTGGGTGGTGTCAGGCAGGTTTTCAGCAGACTCTGATTGGGAATCCAGATTGAGGCTGGAACCGTTCGGTTCACAGGTCAAATCTCTTCACACATCTGGATCATGCCAACATCTGTTGGCTGGAGTCTGTGTCTGTGTGTCTGGTTCTGTTTCTCCTCCACATCACCTGAACAGACGGCAGAAAATCCCTCTGACCTTTGACCTTATCTCAGCTCTGTCTCCATATGAAATCATATCGTTTTCAGTCCTAAGCGGATCATGTCGGGGGGGGCGGGGTGGTGGTGGGGGGGGGTTTCTGGCCGGTTCCACTGAGGCGGAATCATTAGATGGATCTGAGCCCGCTGGCGGCTTTCCACTCCCGGCTTTTGGAATTAAACATCCGCCTGTTGGCCCCGCCCCCCCCCTGCCCGATCGTTAGGGGAGCCGGGCGGCTGTCCGTGGGGGGGGGGGCGGTCAGTGGGGATGTGAGCGGCCGGACAGCTGGTCGCCATGAGGCCGCGGCGGATGCTGATGGTGGTGATGATGATGATGGTGGTCGTCATGGCGCCGCGCGGCCGCGGCTTCGAGCTGCAGGACACCATCCACGCGCTGATGGAGGAGAACATCCACCTGCACGACCGGCTGGAGAACCTCACGCACGCCCTCCGAGAGCTCAAGCGCATGCTGTGGCTGCACGCCAACGGTAGAATAACCCCCCCCCCCCCACGCTACCCCCTATCCCCCCCTCCCCAAGTCCTGTTTTCCTGCTAGCATCCCCTGAACGTGAGGCTTTGCACTGGGGTTTTTAAGCAAAGCTCGAACCAGCTGCTGTTTATCTTTCATTATTATTTATTCTTATTATTACCTTTCATATTGTAATTCTTATTACCTTTCATATTATTATTATTACCTTTCATATTATTATTATTACCTTTCATTATTATTCTTATTACCTTTTATATTATTATTACCTTTCATTATTATTCTTATTACCTTTCATATTATTATTATTACCTTTCATTATTATTATTAT